TGGCGTGCGTAACGCCGTTGACAGATTTCAACTACTGGAAAGACGTTGAACCGGACACATTCACCAACACCGTGCGGAGTAAGAGGCATTCGTTCTGATTGGGATGCACGCTGTGCAGTCTGCCTATCGCAGTTCTTTGAGTATACCGGGGTGTCCGTCCACTCGCTCTCCTCGTTTGCGTCGTACGAAAGATTTTCTGCATGCATTCCCTGTGTAATATGTAGGCACTTTCGAATACGGCAGGGTTTTCACAAACGCGTCACTTTGGCTGAACTGGAAGAACGCAGTTAACGTGTGTTGCCGGTGGTCTGTTGCACATTTGCATCGGTAAAGTAAACGCATTGCCCATTCACTAAGTGTACCGCAAGGGAAGAACACCTGGACTTGCACGGATTTGTTGCCGGTGGCGCATCGTCCAGTCCAATGCTGTGCGATTTCATCGAGTTGTATGCCCGCATCCCTTTCTCTACTTTCGTTTTGCAGGCCAAAAACGGCCATGTCGCTGCCTTTATTCACGTACTTACAAATGTACCTAATTCATTTTCCGGAATCGCAGTTTTTCACGTGTATGTGAGCTGCTTTTGCTTTTAAAAACAAAGGCGAGTGCGAAACAACCCAGCGGTTACCGGCTTTTGTGTCACCGATTCGCATTCGCATGGTGGCCAACTTGCCGACGTCTTCCGCTGATCGTGTTGGGTATAAGGGACTTCCGTCGTTACCGGTAAGTGTGTTGCATGCGAATGCCCGAGGATATCTCTGAGAACATTTTCCGTCTGTCATGCCGGGGATGGGGGGAGGGGTTGGAGGATTGGGATTCCGTGCACCTCAAGGTCCATGCATAATATTCTACGCCCCAACTTCATGCACAGCATTGTCGACGTCGGCGTCAGGTAATTCAGCGCATATGGCATCGTTGATTTCGTTCGAAGTGATCTTGTTATAGAGCCAGATCAATACACGTGCATGGGGCAGTCCCCGCTTTTGCCGTTTCAGCTAATACATCCAGCGGCGCACAAACCCAACCATCTCATGTTTCACCATGAAGTTCATCAGCGATTGCAGTTTCTTCCTGAAAATACTGCTGTGATATCATGCCTATTCACCGGCGATAGCCCAGGGAGTAAAAGCTGATAAATATCCCCCCAAGTTGGATTGCATCTGAATGTAATGAGTAAGTCTGGACGCCCATACTCACAAACGTAAGCAATTGCACCTCGAGCGTACTCGAACAGATGACGTAAACTGTCTGCATATGTGGATGACAAAATTGTTAGTCTTACAACGTTATCTCTATTACCATCGTTTACAACTGCATCATGCAAATGAATATATTCTTCTGAGCGCAGGTTGGTCTGATTCGAGCGAATGAAAAGCTGGCACTCTGTTTCGTTTTTTGCATACATATCCACAATGCAGTGGTGAAACAATGGACGGCATTTTAAAAGGGGGATTAATTACACTCCGTCGAATCATAAGTCGGTTTGAGTAGGGGTTCATTGCGCTGCATTTCATGTGCGTTACCTCGTCACTGACTGGATTTATCATCCTAACGTTGAAGTGATATCCATCGGCACCATCCCGAAAAGTAAATGAAAACTGTGCGGAAATCGGTCTCCGACTGCCGGTATATGTTGGATGGCAAAATCGTTAGTCTTCCACGGTTGTTGTCGCACCGTCCTTTACAACAGCATCACGCAAATGAATGCGTTCTTCAGAGCGCAGAGTGAATGCTGAGTACGGAGACGTGTTGGACACCGGTCCGCTGTTCCCCGCTGGTGTCTTTCAGCCACTCTCAGCTTGTAGTGTTCATTCTGTTATGCACAGAGCAGACCTGAATCTGCAGAAGGCGCTAACCGTGACCGCAAGCCGGGCTGCACGACACTGGGCCGAAACTGGGTGACAGGCCCCTTATGCGGGTTGTGCGTGGGGGGAAGGGGGCTTTGTTAACCGCATGGAGTCGTCGCGCCCGAGAATCCCAGCGGAAGCGGCGGTAGCCCAATTATGTGGGTAGTGTGGGGCATGTTCAAGTGGGGCCCACGAGATGCGTGTTTTTTTGCTGCAGGGGGAGGTAGTTTGCTCTGGCGACCCAGATTGCATCGGCCCAAG